GCTCGGAATGAAATAAAAATAATAATTTTGTTTTTCCTGTGATGTCCCCCCCGTCGGACGGATTCCTTTTGTTTGTTTTAAGTTTATTTTATACATTATCGATTGAGACACTACGAAGTCTGCCGGTTCAGCTAGTATTTGATAAAGATACACATATTTGGGTACGTAATTTATTGCTTTTTATTAATTTCGTTGAAAAATAGAAACTATGGATTAACTATTTTATTAATTTATTTATCATTTAGATACAGATAACTTTGAGTACAAAAAAAACAATATGCATAAAACAATCACTCGAAAATTTCTCTTGTCATTTACCAAACCATTATCGCAATTGAAGAGATGTTGAAATCCACTTTAATATAAACGATGTGAGCACTTGTTAAAAAGACCTTTGGGGATTACAACAGCTGTCTCCAGCAGCTTCATCAGCTATAGAACGGATGCACTTAACCGAGGGCTGTAAACCGTAACTTACTGATTTTACACATACACCACTTACGCGGATATAAAGCAGTTAAAAAAAAAACGACTACAAGCTTAGGTATTTGTAAAAAAAAACATTACTGTATGTACACTTTGAACGTAAACAGGTACGCAGATAAATTAAATAGATTCAATATTTTCTTCGGTTTCCGTTAGTCTAAGAATCATAATTAAAAATGCTTTTACTCTCGCGTTTTTTACTGCCGCATTTATATTATCTCCGACGTTTAGAATTCTCTAGAATGTTTGTTCGTGATCAAGAACGACTGAAGTGACCGCGAAGAATGAGTTTTGAAAACATTGGTACTAATGAAAAGTGGTAGGCTAAGTCATTATCTAAATTTTAAAAAAGGTCATTAATGTAACATAATTTATGAAAGCCATGAATAATAACTCTGCGAACATTAAATTGAAAGATCTAGTCTCGTTAAGTCTATTTAAATTAAAATTTGTTTGTTAAAGATAACTATAGACTTTAGTAATCCACCGAAACTGAGCTTAAAACAGTAGTTTTTAACGTTATGTCGTAAGTTCACCTTTTGACGCAACTTAAAAATAGGATAGGTTAGCTGAGACTTTATTTAACAAAAAATAGTAAGTAAGTAGTATTATTAATCAAAAATCAATCGTTGTTGTTCATATTCAATCTACTTTACTGGTGGTGGTAGGACGTCTTATAAGTCCGCACGGGTAGGTACCACCACCCTGCCTATTTCTGCCGTGAAGCAGTAATGCGTTTCTGTCTGAAAGGCGGGGCAGCCGTTATATTGTAAAAACTGAGACTTAGAACTTATGTCTCAAAGTGGGTGGCGGCATTTACATTGTAGATGGCTATGGGCTCCGGTAATCCCATAATACCAGGTGGGCGGCGAGCTCGTCCATCCATCGAAGCAATAAAAAAATAAAAACTTCTATACCACGCTAGAATATTCAATTTTTATTTTTACTTTTTATTTTTTCTACCTATGCTGATAGCCTTGAGCGGCTATTTCAGCTTCACCCTAACGTGTGTAGGTGAGCTCACGGGGCTCAAACCGGGTGTGTTGCTAACACTGACCATCGGATCGGAAACGCGACCCACTGAGAAGATCCGGCGAGAAACTCAGTGGGCTGTGTTTAGGGGTTAATTCGCTCGTCGAGCCCTTCGTCGCAAGCGACGGGTTCGACGAGGACGGTGACCGATGCTTGTGGTGCCTAAAAGCACCGTTAATGGATCGGGAGGATCCGTAATGACGTGCTTTGGGCGACGTCGACTGTTTACCGTTCGGTCTACAGGATCGGGTATGTAGTTTCCAGCGGCCACGACAAGAGGGTTCTCATGTCGTGCCGCCTTCTCGAAATGGCGTAATGATGCCGACTGTAGATACTTACTGACAGAGTCGAGCTCCAGGTCATCGTGGAGATCCACGTTCCTCAGGAACCATGGTGCTCCGACGGCTATTCTGCAGAATCGGGATTGAAGAATATTCTACGGAACCACGGAGAACTCAAACTATTGTAAAGTTTTATGATGTAGCACTTCATACTTTTTTAAATTAAATTCCTTGACTTCATTCAATAAATTTGCGATTGAATCTCGTACTTGTTATATTACGTTTACAATTTACTATGTTCACAAAAGCCGCTATAGTACAAATTATGGAACGTTTCGCGAATACGATAATATTAAGTATCTTTTACAGTTTTCCCGTATTTCAGATGTTATTAAAACTACTTTTACGGTTTAATCTCTTTTTTTTTGTAAAATAATTTCCGACCATTCGAGTGTTTCAGTTTTCGTGGTCACGGACGATGAAACAATTATTCGTGAAACGTAAATACACAATGATTTCAATTATCTATATATTTTTGTCTTTACAAAACAGTTAAGCGGCATTTTCTTCTCTTTTTGTCCACATATTTTGGATTTGTTTATATTTATTTTTATTTATTATATTATATTGCTTATAAGTCTAATAATATTTTTTTCAAATAGATAAAAGAGAAAAATATAAAGCATGAAAGGATTTTAAATCTTAAGGTGTCTGTGATTATGGTCAAATTTCGAACACTAGCCATACTTAAACCGGTTTAATAAAAACACCCATTTAGTAAACTTCACTAGAATCAATTTAATTTCAAATTTATCAATACAGTATTATGACGAAGTTCGGAGTCACATCTCGTTTTCCTTTTCTGAGTAATATTTATTTATTTTTAGAAGCAAGGAGAATTTACTAAAAAGTTTTAGTTGATTAAGAAGACGACGTCTGACGTTGTTATAAGGAGAACGTAGTATTTATATACTTACATGGTTATGATTTTATGTTTGGTATATTTTAATAACTCAGTAATTAGCGTTTTGTCATTTTGACAAATCTTAGTAATCTTATCTAAGGAGCATTACCTTGTCTCGTTTCATTTTCATTATAGGATTTTGATATTAGTGTTTTTTGTAAAGAAATCGCGGGTAGATAATAACATAAACATTGGTGAACAGCGCATTTTTTTTTTTTATTTTTTTTTTGTCAGGAGGAAATCACCGGACTTCCGCCCTCCACTGGGGATGGAGAGCGGGGCATGTCGGAGTTGAACCGACTAAAACCTCCTGTCGCTCAACAACCAGCATCCAAACCTCGCATGAGACAGAACTCATGAAAAGGCAAAGGGGGGAAAGTGAAGCGTTTAGTGCGGAGCACATCTCTCCCATCACCCTCCCCCTCGGGACGCCGGACTGGCGGTCGTCGGCGCCACGACCACCAGTCCTCTCGGTCGGCAGGGANATGTCGGAGTTGAACCGACTAAAACCTCCTGTCGCTCAACAACCAGCATCCAAACCTCGCATGAGACAGAACTCATGAAAAGGCAAAGGGGGGAAAGTGAAGCGTTTAGTGCGGAGCACATCTCTCCCATCACCCTCCCCCTCGGGACGCCGGACTGGCGGTCGTCGGCGCCACGACCACCAGTCCTCTCGGTCGGCAGTGAACAGCGCATGACCCGTTTTAAATTAATAATATGATTCAGTATGTCATTTATATATCATTTTATATATTATTTTAAAGAGCATCTTTGCAATAAAGCTTACTATAAAGTCAATGATTATCTAGAAGATTGCACAAAGTGGGAATGAGTTGCTCGCTCCGGGCATTTCAATATTGCAATAATTGTTACGTTATAATACTCATTGTAAAAATGAATATTAAAAAAAAAACTAATATTTAAAACCAAAATCTAATATTTAAAAAAAGACATGCCCGCTAAGTTTCTTGCCAGTTCTTCTCAGGACGGAGGCTAGTTTTTCTGAGTTGGCGGTAGTTCTTTTGACGTTCAACAAGTACCTACTTTCATTTATGTTGAATAAATGTATTTTTTATTTGATTTGATTTGATTTGTTTTTTGTAAAAGATTTACAAATAAAATATGTCATATATATTTCGCATAACATTTCTATTATTTTAGTAGTTTATATGAACTAAAAACTAAATATCGATAGTTTTACATAGTTAACATTCTTAGATATATTGATATTATTCTTGTTTGCTTCATTCAAGATTCAAAAATTAAAACAACATAATTACTAAGCATGCACCTCTATAAACAGATACGTTGATGTTTTAAATCTATCGTCTAATTGAACGTCAACGATATAACATTGTACAGGCCCTCCCTAACGCTACAGATAATATAAATTAAATATTTATAATAAACGGCAAGTTATATCTGTCCGTGGGATCGGTTCCTGACTATATTGCGTCAGGGATATTTTTAGTCTCATCGTCAGGACGACGCAGCGACGTAACCGTAGAAAAAAGCCATACCTAAACCAAGGGTGGCGCCAAATATCAGGCTCTGTTCAAAATAAAAGAAATAATTAGGTTCTCGGCCAGTGTGGCCGTAAAGTGAAATTTGAAGCATTGATAATTATTTGTTTTCGGTTTAGAAGTTTATGGGTGTCTTCCTCGTAGACTTATGAACTAGAACTGACATGTGTACTCCATGATCAGGGTTACAAACGGAGCGATCAATGATCAATGGTCATTAAAGATATATCTAAATATTTTATCTATTTATAATTTATCTAATATATATTTATTATTTAAAGTAAAAGCTAACTTATTACGAGTACAATAAGACCTAGTCAAACTTACCTACATGTGATTTTACTTAGACGTTATGAAGAATAGTAGAATTCAAATGAAACATCGCGTGTTTCATGTGGTACCGTTTTGGAGACACATTCACAACCGTGAGTGAATTCTCAGATCTTATACAGGATGTGCGCTCATTGACGCGAACGGCTATGGCCGCATGGCGTCCGTGCGTCCATAGCATTATCTATATACCGAATTATGTATCCACGGTAAATACGTTTCGAAGATGATGGACAAGATAAACAGAAAACGATCAATATGTGCTGTCTCTGTCTAACTCGTGGTCCCTAGAGAGGCGGCGCGCTGGGAGGTGCAATGGAGTCGTACCGTAGTGGAGGTGGTTTTTTTTTTGTCTTGTCAATGAAAGGACGGGTAGGGGCGGGCCGCGGCTCCGGCGCAGGACTCAGTTTGCAGCCGAACTTTCGAGCTCGCTGTTCGCGCATGTTTCACCGTTTCGTGGCGGTCTGTTCGCTGAACGACTATGAATTACGATAATTGTGACAATAGAACTGTGCTCATCAAACGCGAGCAAGACCTTGAATATCCCGAGGACGAAGACCATTCGTACTATGGATATGCACCGGTTGAAGTAAATCGACAAGCTGCTACCGGGTTTGTGCCTTCATCGCCTGCTCATCTCATGGATCTTAGTAACGGTCCTGACCGCGCTCAGCAGCCTCCCTGGGCTACGAACGCAATGTTTGGCAACGAAGATCGCGATTATCAACAAATCCCATTTCCTGCTTACGATCCTCAGTTTCAACAAAGACAAGTACCGCGACACGTTTATTATGAGGATTCGAATTCACAAGACGGAATTTCAAACTACTATGAAGCTGGTGATATGCCGAAGCTAGTTGAAATGTACAGGGCCGATGAGCGACGAGATGAAACAGAGGAACAACGAAGAAGAAAGAAGCCTTCGAAATCAGCGCGCAAGAAAACACAGTCTTATGAAGAAATGCAGATACAGCGAGTAATGGCAAATGTTCGGGAACGTCAGAGAACCCAAAGTTTGAATGAGGCTTTCGCGAGCTTAAGGCAAATAATTCCTTCCCTTCCGAGCGACAAATTATCCAAGATACAGACCCTGCAATTGGCAACGCAATACATTGAGTTTTTGTATCAAATACTGTCGAACAGCGAATCGACAGGGGCCAGTGACAGCAGCAGCGACACCAGCAGCGATCACGGAAAGTATTTGGCTCAAGACAAACTGAGCTACGCTTTCTCTGTATGGAGGATGGAAGGAGAGTGGACGACCAACGGACAATCGTGATAAAAATTGTGTGAGTGTTTAATCATAAGACTACATGAAGTGAATCATGTTATTCCATTGAAGGTTGTTAGACAAACAAAAAACATCTTTAGAAATTACTTATATGTAAAATTGTGATAGTTAAGTTTAAGGACACGTAACTAAAATCTTGACGAAAGACATTTCGATTTAGACGTAAGTGTAAAAAGTAGATATAAAAGGAAAGTACAGTTAAGAAAGACACTTTAGAATTTGCTAATATACCTACTTATTTTCTTTGTATTCGAGGACTAATTCCCTCAGGAGAATTGATATTGCAATTAATTCTTGGGGGTCTTCAAATTAAATGATTATTTTTATGGAGATCGCGTCATCGTCTCAAATTCAAATTCAAAATCCCAATTCTCTCGAGATACCGCGTCAAACGCAGTAGTAAATTTTAAGAATTTAAGTAGACGGGCCGGGTCGTTTCCTAAAAGTTGACGTATCAAAGCTGCGCCTGCTCTGCAGCAGAGTGGTTGGTAAATTACCTCTCAATCATATCAAGGATTGAACAAGTCATCTCGTCGAATACAAAGACTTATTTTAAGTTTGTGATTTTTATAAATGACTAAATACAGCTGTATACCAAAAACATGGAAATGTAAATATATTAATAATGTGATTAAAAATTAAACAAATTCTTTTCAAACTTAATATTATTGTAGTTTCCCTTCATCCCTTCATGTGAATCGAAAGCCGTGTAAATAATCTTTTTTTTTATCCTCGCGGTATCCAAATACTTTTTTATTTTAGAAAAAAAGAAATATTTCTTTGAATAATCTTTCGAGCATTCATTTTGGTCTTTATAGGTATTTTTAATGAGCACTTCACAGTTTCCAAAACATGTGTCTACTTACTTATCGATAAAAGACTTCTAGGAATTAGGGCTAAAAAAACTGACAATAACACGATACCATCATAGTCATTACTACTCTAGTCCATCAAGATCCATTTTATAATGAAAATACCTACGCACCCGTAGCGGGTACGGAAGAGAAAGAGACGACAAAGGTAAAAATACGTTATCACGAACTTGAACAATTTTCAAACGAGAACCATACAATGACGTGTATATAATCAAAGCATACAATATTCTTCTTCGGTTTTTGCGAGTCGTAAACATAATTTAAACTATTTTTAAGGCTTAATTTCGAGATTTTTCTTGTCATTATATTATTTCCCACGAATTCTTTACAGATTACGTGGGCACGGAATGTAGAATCCATACTTTATTTCAATATTAGAAATAATGTGTAAGTGTGTTTGTTTGTTTATCTTTAATTACCGTCGAAACGAAGCTACGGATTGATAATATTATGTCGTAAGAGTGACCTTTTATCCCGAAAAAACATCTTTTCCCACGAGAACTGTTTTATAATCTGTAGAAAATTTACAAACACTAAAAATAAATCATTTACCACGCGGGCGAAGCTGCGGGTAATAACCAGTATAATATAAGAACAGTAAAAACGCGAGAATAATCCGTAAAAGTATTTTCAATAATATTGGTACATAAATATTGTTATTATTTGTATTGCATATTATATATATCGACGCTTGAAAGGCAAACGTGACTAAGCGACAATAACTGATTTGTACATAAATGATAGGCAATAGCCATATTCGATGCGCAAAAAAAATATATTTCTAGGTCTATTATAATCATTTCAATCCTACAGCTACTAGCTAGATTCTACTACAGCTAGATTCGTTAAAATAAATTTTGTTTTCAAGTATTTCAAATTTAAATTAGTCTACTGTAAAGTTCACGCATTGTCGCTTAGTCACTTTTGCCTTTCAAGCGTCGATATATATAATTGATCGAGCGATTCAGTTTGATGGATGGAACGGGACGGTCATTATACAATATAAATTTCGACCTCATGTCTCAAGATGGGTGGCGGCATTAATATTGTAATGTCTATAGGGTTCGGCGACCAATCACGGATCGTTTGGAACCTCTGGGTCTGCGGAGGGACTTCGGTTCCCTCTGTATTTTGTACCGTATGTTCCATGGGGAGTGCTCTGAGGAATTGTTCGAGATGATACCGGCATCTCGTTTTTACCATCGCACCGCCCGCCACCGGAGTAGAGTTCATCCATACTACCTGGAGCCACTGCGGTCATCCACAGTGCGTTTCCAGANACCGGCATCTCGTTTTTACCATCGCACCGCCCGCCACCGGAGTAGAGTTCATCCATACTACCTGGAGCCACTGCGGTCATCCACAGTGCGTTTCCAGAGGTCTTTTTTGCCACGTACCATCCGGCTATGGAATGAGCTCCCCTCCACGGTGTTTCCCGAGCGCTATGACATGTCCTTCTTCAAACGAGGCTTGTGGAGAGTATGAAGCGGTAGGCAGCGGCTTGGCTCTACCTCTGGCATTGCTGAAGTCCATGGGCGACGGTAACCACTCATCATCAGGTGGGCCATATGCTCGTTTGCCTACAAGGGCAAAAAAAAAAAAAAAATTAATCTAGGCTAATTTAATCGCGCAAGAAATTTCAGTTTCATAATTGATCTTAATAGAAAGCATATTTCGAGAACCATTAATATTAATAAAATTGAATGTTATAATTACATTTTATTGCAGAAATTCATTCAAAATCACAAATGTTTCACGTTTTCATTTTTGTCATAGGAGAGAAAATGGGACATAACTGTTCATTGAAGATATGTATTAAAAATAGAAAGAGGGTAACAATTTTTTTTTTTTAGAATTTAACTGATTTTTTAAATAATTTACGTTATATTATGTCAGTTTGTTTGTTCGCACACATCGCCGGAATTACTTAAAGGATTTTCATCTAGTTTTCACAGGGCTTAATTTGGGAGTTATCGTTTTAATCGGATGTTGCAAAAAGGATTTTATACTTTAGGGTTTTTTGAATATTATTTTTATACTATCAGATGTTACAACTTACATAGTAAATAATATTGTTACATGAAAATCATCTTCGTTTTCCAGTCCAAAGTGCCAAACTAAAATTTGGTATGAATAAATAATTTGAACTCTACGAAAGAAATATAGGCTATTTCCCGGTCACGTTACAATCTCTTAGGCGTCTTTTATGACACCCGATAATGATGATGATGATACAGTTCAATATCCACACAACACAGCAAACTAAAACTTCAGAACTAAGCATAAATTAACTACAACTACAAATAATTCCGAAAAATTCCGTATGTACTTATATATACCTAGTCAGGTCATAAATTCTGTCACATGTTTAATGTAAAATAATTGAAACAAGTTTATTCATTATGTAACCATTCATATACCAAAATGAACTTAACAAAACATAGATTCTTATGACACTAAAGTTTATTCAAAATGACCTCCGTGATTTTGAATATAGGCCTTCAATCTGCGCAGCCAGTCGTCTATCGCAGCACGAACGAGGTCCATGTCAATATAGGCGGCTGCCTTAATCAAGGATGTCTTAAGTGACTCCAAATTGGGATGAGGCTTTGAGCACGCCTTTTCCTCCAAGTGTTGCCATATCTTGTAATCTAACGGATTCAAATCTGGACTGGAGGAGGGCCAGTCTTCGTGCCGGATGAAGTCGATTTCACGCGCCGCCAGCCAGTCTTGTGTGCTCTTCGCTCTATGAGCTGGCGCCGAATCTTGTTGGAATACCCAGTGCCTGTTATTGAACATGGTATGAGAAACAGGTTCCACAAGGTTCGTCAGGACTGTATTTTGATACACAACTGCATTCGTTTTTACACCTTTCTCACAAAAATGTACCTCTGTTAAGCCCCAATAAGAAACTCCCAACCATACCATGAGCGAGGATGGAAAATGACCTCGTTGGACACGCGGAATACGGTTGCTCGCTTCTTCACTACTGTGTGCGTACACCTTATCATTTTGTTTGTTGTAGCTCTCTTCTACGGTAAAAATTTTTTCATCCGAAAAAAGAATTTCCCGATATTTTTTTCCCGCGTACCGCTTCAACAAAGCGCGGCATCTCTTCAGTCTCAGGTCCATTAGACGAGCATTCAAACGATGTCCTGTTTTTCTTCGATATGCCCGAAGCCCTAAGTCTTCATTTAACACCCTTTTCACCATGGTTCTGCTTAACCCCATCTGAAGGGCCAACAGTTTCTGCTTACGTTTGGGATTTCTTTGAATTCGCGCCTTCACAGCTTTTATCACTGCTGGAGTCCTAACAGACCGAGGGCGACCACTTCTTGACCTGTCATCTACACTAGTCTTCATTGTACCGTTTGATGGTACGATAAACGAATCTTTTGGTTATATTCAAATTTTTCAGTATGTTAAAAATTTGAATTGGCGCGTAACCGCAACGATGCAACGCAATAACTGCAACACGGTCTTCTTTAAGCGTCCACTCCATATTTAAAAATGAGTAAAATTCTAAAAGTATACATTTTTATTTCCATGAACAATTCGAAATTCGAATTCAATAAACTTTTTTGTGGCCAGTATTCTAAAAGAAAAGTTTTTACTGTGTGACAATACTTTTGACCTGACTAGTTATACCTACTGTTTAAATTGTTTTTCTACTTGGAATCTACTTTGTATTATTCTCCGAATGGCCTTTTTTCGTAAAATAAAATTTAACATCTGCTACTTTAACAAAATGCCGCTTGGATCAAGTGCCTTTCAATCGTCGAAATGGACATGAGATATCTGTATGTATGTGACCATCTTTCTGTCCGCAGCATCGCCTTATATCACGTAGACGAACAGCAGGGCTCAACAGTGAAATGAAATATACCAGTGCATTTCAATCACCAATCGGCGCGGTTCCACATCATCTTCAATGTTGCACAGTTAGTTCGAGCTGAGGAGGGAGGAAAGCTGTCTGATGCCTGTGTGCTACGCCAGGTACTCGGAGCCGGGGGCGGGAGGAGGCCATTCGTCCAGCTCCGGCCCCTGTGAGCAGGCAGTCTCTGCCTGGTGAAGGTCTTGGGGCAACTTGACGGGTCGAGGCTGCGCAGCATGCCACTGTTACCTGGGATGGACTGGACCTGTAGATGAGACGATGCGGCGGCGGCCACGGTCTGCATTGCTGTCGTCGTACGGCCTGACGGGCCACCGTACCGAGGAGATCGGCGTCGTTGATCGACGACAATTGCCTCGACGACCCGTCGGTCACGCGTCCAAGGTAGCGCCGCGAGTTATGCTTGTTACATGCACACGATACCGCCCCGACCGCAAGAACTACACGGGAAGCAGTTGCAAGCGCTCCGCGCTATCCCCTTGGCCCCAGGCATGGTACGGAAGAGCATCATTCACAGGAACCTGCGCATGAGCAGCATTAACGACTACACCAGACGTATGGGTGCCTCAATATTCGCAAGCATAAACGGAGCGCAGTCCCGCAAGTTACGCGGCATAGCACCTTACTATTGGTGGCCGCCGTAACCGCTGGAGCCTCATGGACTTGACCGATCCATAACCGAGCAATGGTCTGAAGACGTACCGAGAAAACTACCGACCTCTACCGAGAAAAGAAAGTTTCGACAAAAATACTGGTGGTAGGACCTCTTGTGAGTCCGCACGGGTAGGTACCACCGCCCCGCCTATTTCTGCCGTGAAGCAATAATGCGTTTCGATTTGAAGGGTGGGGCAGCCGTTGTAACTATACTGAGATCTTAGAACTTATATCTCAAGGTGTGTGGCGCATCTACGCTGTAGATGTCTATGGGCTCCAGTAACCACTTAACACCAGGTGGGCTGTGAGCTCGTCCACACATCTAAGCAATAAAAAAAAATAAAAAAATTTCATCAAATGTATAATAGTTTTTTTTATTGCCCTCGTAGGCAGACGAGCATGCCTGATGGTGATTGGTTACCGTCGCCCATGTACTTCAGCAATGCCAGGGGCAGAGCCAAGCCGCTGCCTATCGTTAAGTACTCTCCACAAGCCTCGTTTGAAGAAGGTCAACATATAGCGCTCGGGAAACTCGGTGGAGGGAAGGTCATTCCAAAGCCGGATGGTGCGTGGCCAAAAAGATCTCTGGAAACGCACTGTGTGTGATAGTAAAAACGATATAATGGAATCATCTCAAACAATTCCTCAGAGCACTCTCCGTGGAACATACGGTACAAAATAAGCGCGAAGTCCCTCCGCAGACCGAGAGGTTCCAAACGATCCGTGAGAACGCGATTATCGACAATCCGAAAGGCCCTCTTCTATATGGAAGCAAATGGAAGTAGCTGGTGTTTGGGAGCCCCTGCCCAGAGGTGGGAGCAGTACTCCACGCGAGGCCGGGCTTGTGCATTATAAAGAAGTCTTTATCGTAATATGTGTGGAATTAAGTAGGTATTAATTAAGTGGTTTAACTCGATGGGGTGTATGAAACTCCTGTACCTAAGTAAATTGGTTCAAATGCCCATACCGATATAAAACAAAAACAAAAAAGATATGCCATTTGTTTCATTAGCACATTTTTTTGTTAACATAGCATAAAACATTTTTCTGCGGTTACCTATTTTAATACTTTACAGATAATGTATTTATTCAAGACGACGGAGAAAATGTTGCTTATATCAAGTCTTAAGCCATCGGCACGTCTCACATATTGTACCTATGTAAGTTGTTATTTATTATTATTTTGTTATTGGAACTGGTGCAACATTAAGTAACTACTGATTGGCTCATCTTGACCTATGCAAGTGTAGTGTTCGCTCACGCGGCCCGCACTAACTTGAAACCCCTTCAAATAATACAATCTCGTTTTTGAAGGATAGCCGCCGTAGCCACATAGTTCGTCCGGAACGTGGACCTCCACGACGACATGGACCTAGAGTCCATCAGTAAGTATCTACAGTCGGCATCAGTGCGCCATTTCGAGAAAGCGGCATGACACGAGAACCCTCGCGTCGCCGGTAACTACATTCCCGATCCTGCAGACCGAAATAATCAAATAATAATCAATAAATATTTATTAACAATCACGTCATGTTAACTGGTCCCGTGATAAGTTCGTAAAGAACTTGTGTTACAGGTACCAGATAACGGATATAAATGTAAGATGTTTATTATACACATACATATATTTAATATACATCCATAACCCTGGAAAAGACATTTATAAATTATCATACAAAATATCTTCCCTTGGCGGGATTCGAACCCGCGACCCCCTTGTGTAGTGACCATGTCACTTACCACTACACCAGACGGCCGTTAAAACAGTCGACGTAGCCCAAAACACCTCATTTCGGATTCTCCCGATCCACTAACGGTACTTTTAGATAGCCCAAGCACCGGTCATCGGTCTCGTCGAACCCGTTGCTTGGGACGAAGGGCTCGGCGAGTAAATTAACCCATAGACACAGCCCACTGAGTTTCACGCCGGATCTTCTCAGTGGGTCACGTTTCCGATCCGGTGGTAGATTCTGCGAAGCGCAGCTCTTGCTAGGGCCAGTGTTAGCAACGTCGTTAGGTTTGAGCCCTGTGAGCTCACCGTGAGGCTACGCTGAAATGGTATGTCAAGACCATCAACTTACGTTGTTGCGACGACGTTGGCTACGCTAAATTGCGGAATCTCCACTTTTATTTACTTAAACGAAATCCATTTCTCATTAATTTTGTCTAATTATATATTAAAATACATCTTCCTACTTCTTTTGTATTTTATCTTGTATATTTTTAATATTTATTTGTATTTAATCGTATGTAAGTTTATCTTATATGGTATTTATTTTTCACATGTGTATATAAGTATATATTTTTATGTAAGTTTATTAAGATATAGCACCGTCCAGTTAACTTATTCCTCTCCCTGCAAGGTTGCCTGGAAGAGATCGCTTTCAGCGATAAGGCCGCCGATTTATATCACCGACTTTTGTTTTATTAGTTTACTCTGTACATATTAAGGTGTTAAATAAATAACGAGTTATATTATTATTATTATTATTGCACTGTGGGTGCATTGATATGACATTTTTATGCTTACTTCTTCATTCGTCAAATCGAAGCGATTTGGATTTGGAACACAATATAGGTATTTATTGATGTTGCTTGATTAGGATTAATTTGATTTTTATGGAAGAAAAATAAATCTTCGCATTACCTCACTGTATATTTAGATGGGGTAAAAAAATACAACATTTTATATTTCCATACTTTTATTAACGTGACATCACAACTCACTAGGTCAACCCCTGGACTATTCCTAGTATCTTTTTTTCGTAAGCGAATGAAACTAGCATCGATAACTTGTTTACACAAAAATAACATGATATATTTTATTCAATTATTTCAGTTCATAAATTTCATACAGTTTAAATGTAATACAGTTATTGGCAATTGTTAATTATTGATTTTCGCGAGCCATGGTTACGATCATCATAATTAAAACTGCAACACTTTTACAGATTAATCTCACGTTTAATATTTTAATTTCACAATTTCCGAGTCATTTAAATCTGTCTATTTAGTCTGACCACATAAGCAAAACGTAAAAAAATATTCGAACACCAGTTTTTTACGAAATTACAAATTAAATCTTAATGTAATTTCAAAAAATAGGATTTGATTCGTTATTGTTTTAATACAGATTATCTGTTGTTAGGGTTCTTTATTAAATGCGTTTTTTTACACGAGTGCCGAAAGTGGGCAATGTCTTTCGAGTCTATGTATCTATTATATTTCATATTATTTTGAAAACATTAGATTTGTCCTTGTTGTATCAGTTATATACGGGCACACAAAAAAAAAACGATCTCGTGGCGCGGTGGCCTTCAAATCTAAATCACCCAAGTCGGATCCGACTTAGCTCCGAACAAAAATCATTATTTGACTGACAATAAATTATAGTTGCAACGTAAAGGTTCAGAGATCAAGTTTTATTTTAACAAAATTCATTCTTACGTTGTTTTATGTTATATGTATATATATGTATATATATGAAATAAATTGTAATTCAAATGCATTTTGTGGTATACATCATTTTTTATAAATTTAAATAAATAAAAATATATTCTGCTGCCAATTCTGAATACATTAATATTAAAGTAAGCTGATAATTAAATTTATCCTAGAAAATCCCTAATTATTGGTGAATGTTAAACGGTAAGGTTCGATCAGAGCGCTGACGTCATAAACGTCTCCTACGTCATCAATTTGAGGCCAATGATTTGTGTGAGTGTGCGTCTTATCTCGTTCACTGACTGGAGGATATTGAATGTGGAACAATTTTAATTTAAATGCACATATCTCTAATTCGTCGCAAAAACCAACTAACCTATTGGATATCAGGGGTCCTCACACCCGATCCCGTAGACCGAATGGTAAACAGTCGACGTCGCCCTAAACACGTTATTACGGATCCTCCCGATCTATTAACGGTGCTTTTAGGTACCACAAGCACCGGTCACGTTTCTGATCCGATGCTCAGTGTTAGCAACACACCCGGTTTGAGCCCCGTGAGCTCCCCTACATGTCAGGGAGAAGCTGATATAGCCTCTTAAGGCTATCAGCATAGGTATGGGAAAAAAGGGGTCAGTGGTTAGTGGAAGGTATAGTGAACCACAAAGAAAAGGTCTTCCACCGAGAGGGTTTGAACAATAAATTGTGAACAAATTGAACAGGGTCGGCGTAAAGACACCTCCGCAGCACACTATGAATTGAACGCCTGGGCATCTATTGAAATCAGATTCTGGTAAAGAACACTAGGAAAACTTTATGTCTAAGCCATTCGATTCGACGCTTAGAACGCTCGGGAAGTAGTCTGTAGGGGTTACGGTAAAAGTGACCTAAGCTTACCATAGTATGCAGATAATGAGATATGAATTAACATTTACTTCGTAGCCAAAACTCATTCGCGCAAAAATAATGTTTACAAAGCAATCTGTTATCGATGTGTGAAACTAGGGATAAACCGTTTTTGCATCCAATTTTATTATGTTTTAAATAAATTGCAATATATAAGCACGAATATGAACAATTCTGGGTTAGGCCACTTTTACACTGACGGCCTCAATTGAGAGTTCTAGTGATTTCTTTGGAAGTTGCGAAGGCATATGAAACAGCTGGATTTCGCAGCTGATCCAGTCTGGAAATATTGTGAGGAGGTGGAAGCCTGTTTGTGACTGCTGAACTTTTGGCAGCATAAGATACGTAGTCTTCATTGAGCATTTTCTTTGCACGTGAAGGATAGTCCAGCTTATGCTGGTTTAGGAAGGATATTTAGCATTCTGGGACTGTCATAATAGACCCACGTGAGTCGCAAAGACGGCTAGCTTTATAATCATACTATCCTTTGCGAACAACAAATAAATAATGAAAACCACTTCATTCACAATCATTTTACAGATTCGCGTCCATAATTTTTTTATACAGGATACTCAAAATTTGTAATCACTAATTCTAACCTAAATTATCTGTATTTTAATATTTTGTTTTAAAAAAATAGGTAAAAGTTAATTATACGTTGCTATTTTCATTCACTTTTCCAATTGATTACTAAGTCTCATAAAAAATATTGCAAATATTGACTACCTAATTATATACATTTTAATATAACGGTAAAAATATAAGAAAACCACATATTTATATATATATATAAGTAATGAAATTTGATTTAGTTATTAAATTTTGATTTTGATATAAATATAAAAAACAAATATGGAACTTTTATATGTAATTTTTAACACGTTTAAGGAATTATTAATGTGTCTGCACCGATTCCGAGGTCTGATACCTGAAAAAAAGAACAAAAATAATTAAAGGACACGGTGCTTAGGGACAATATGTCCAAAAATGGTTTCTCATAAAAGACACGCTTTAGAAACAATAGCGATATTACTAAATTACTTCACTATTTTTAAATTTTATTTGGTATTGCTATCTGCGATGAAAAATTGCTGTGTTTTTGTCTAATTTACCGTTAAAGAAACTGTATAAGATAATAGCGAATCTAAGTATTAATTACAGAATATATAAAAAAAGGATTTAAATCAACTACATATATTACTTAAGCTAATATAGCGTGTAAGATGTTGAAGTTAGCACGATTTTTGTACGATGTTTGAACATCTATGGTTTTATCTTTGCAGCGGATGGAGTGTTTGGAGAAGAGCACGTGTATATGAATAGACTAAGAGAAAGCGAAAGTCTAGCGAGTGAAGTTTTAATTTTTATGTTTAATTTTATTTTTATTGTGTTGATATATGAACAAGCTCATATAGTGTTGCCATCATAAGGTAAATTCCACCATACACAATGAGACATGAGGTCGAAGATTCAAGAATGGTTGTACCTACCCGCGAAAATTTTAAATTATTCCTACTACAAATAATTACACAACTATATAAATATTGCAGGTTTGATTATGTATTATTACAAGATGTTAGTTTTTTTTTCATTCGTGAACACATGTTATGTATCCTTCCAAAAATTGTAAAAATTGCTGGGTTTGAACCCATAGTCACATCGCTCGGTACGAGTACATCGGTCATCTTTTTTTTTTTTTTTTTTTATTGCTTAGATTGGTGGACGAGCTCACAGCCCACCTGGTGTTAAGTGGTTACTGGAGCCCATAGACATCTACAACGTAAACGCGCCACCCACCTCGAGATATAAGTTCCAAGGTATAGTTACAACGGCTACCCCACCCTTCGAACCGAAACGCATTACTGCTTCACGGCGGAAATAGGCGGGGTGGTGGTACCTACCCGTGCGGACTCCCAAGAGGTCCTACCACCAGTGAATTCTTTAGACCACGACAACTTCAAACCGCTACAAATTTGTACTCTTTATACTATAGTTTTGAGTTACCAAGCACTAATAAACAAATCTTACATATATCTATAAAAAATAAACAATTAATGCGTAAGTTTCTAGGACTTAATGAAAATTACTTCTTTATCTGCCTTTACTGATAAACACATCTTTAATAAATTTGAGTAATTTAGACATACTTCAGAACGAAATAGTTTATCGGGCTGAATCAAACGTGACTAGTATTTATAAGACTGTTTTCTCTTCCGAACAAAAACATAAAAAAATGGTAGAAAAACAGTTATTCAAGACAGGACCTGCAGGCTTTCAATTAGGTTCGTATTAATCAGATACTGATGATCATGAACGCCAAGAACGTATTTAAAAGTACATTCTAACAATGTAAATACATATACAGACTAATTATGTACAGATATGACATGACATGACAGAATGTAAATATACCGTCAACGGTGAGCACTCGTGAACACATTTATCATTTCGAACGTTGAAATTACAGGGCAACTAAGGACTTATGCTACAAATATCAAATTAATTTTAATTGTGGGTAGCCTTTAAAAAAGTCTATCTCAGATTTCTACGGGACCCCGTATACATTACGATAGCATTTATTTTTATCTGTCAATATAAACGCATTTTCTTGTTATAAAAAATCGTTTGTCGTGTTCCAAATGCATACGGGTTTTACGGTGGGCGAACCAAATCAAAGTCATCGCTACAGCGGAGGACTAAATCAAGGAGCCAAACATTCTATTCGCATGCATTATTATTACCAACTCTATTTGTCACCGAAATACGTAAAACTTACGTCTTGTGACAGATCCTTGTTCAGATCTTGTATGTCCTCTGTGTCGCTTATGATGACCCACTTATCGTCATTGACCGTCTACAAACAATGCAAATTACTCCTTTGATTATACAACACAGAAGAGTCTTTATTACTGTGCGATTGTCAATGTGCAAAACTCTGATTAATGTTAGATATGAAAAACAGTTTATAACGTATTCGTTCTTGGCTGGACAAGAGAAAATCCTATCTTAAGGCAGTTCAATGTACTAAAACGTTGTTGTTGCAAGTACGCTTACGCCACCTGTAGCACGACAGCGGTACTATTACAGAAACCTTCAGTGAAATGTTATCAGCGACTGTATTTTTATCGCTATCGACGAATTATTTAAAAACGCATTAACGACAAACTTACAATGAAACATTAATTTATGTGTACGTATAGAAAATAAATGTGTAAGTTTACCAGCCCTATGAGTTTCTCGCCGGATCTTCTCAGTGGGTCGCGTTTGAGATCCGGTGGTAGATTCAGCGAAGCACTGCTCTTGCTAGGGCCAGTGTTAGCAACACTTCCGGTTTGAGCCCCGTGAGCTCTCACCTACACGCTAGGGTGAAGCTAAAATAGCTTTTCAAGGCTATTGACACAGGTTTTTTTTTAATTGCCTTTGTAGGCAGACGAGCATACGGCCCACCTGATGGTGAGTGGTTACCGTCGCCCATGGACTTCAGCAATGCCAGGAGCAGAGCCAAGCCGCTACCTACCATTAAGTACTCTCCAGAAGGCTCGTTTGAAGAAGGATATGTGGGAAAAAAAGATGTTTACCAAGGCCTCGGTGGGGTTGACGACCGCCTTGTGCGCTTGCTTCATGTGGTCGTTGAGGGCGAAGGCTCGCGCGTAACTGGCGCCGCACAACGAGCAAGAGAACTTCAAGTTGTTCTGGCGCAAGTGCGTCTCCGTGTGCACTCGGACGGCGTATAGCGATGCGAAGGGCCTGCCGGGAAATAAGGGCATTGAAATTTTGAAAAATAATAATCGTTTTGGCACCGGGTGGAGCAGTAATTAGCGCCCCAGCTGCTGGGCCAAGGGTCGCAGGTTCGATTCCCACGTCGGACAGCTACTTGAAGAAGTTCGTTTATTTTTTGTCTAGTAGTAGAGAGAATCTTAATGATTGTTTTGACCAGGTAAGATTTTTTCTAATTAATTATTCATTTATTATATTTGTTGTTTATATTTATTTATTTATTGTTCTATACGAGCGAAGCGATGCAGTACGCTAATACAAAAATATAGATATAAGAAGTTTACGAAGGACCCATGTCAGTGACACTTGGGAGTGGTCTTAGGTTGGAAAAAATGGAAAAGCTTTCATCTTTTATTTATTGCATCGCTGGCGGTGATGACAAATTTGTAGCGATTTTTTTTACGTTATTTTACGTTACGTTATGTAACATAGATATAACCAATTTATCACCTATCAATTATATAAATCACTATTTCAATTTTTTTTAATTCAAATCGTTCAGTTTTACATTTAATAACATTGTAATTGATTCTAACCCGTTAATTGAATTAGTTTAAGTTTCAACTATAATTTGTTACCTGTTACAGTGCTGACACGAAAACGGCTTCGTGTGAGAATTTTTATGTCCGGCGAGTTGCACCGATGTCTTGAACGCTTTAGGGCAGTAAGGACACTTGTAGGCTCTGACGTCGGAGTGGGTCAGCAAATGGTGGTTGTACACGCTGTGCGCTTTAAACCTGAACAAAAAGTATTGTTCACCGGTAAGAGAAGATACGAATATAAACAAGAACTAGTAAAATCGAGAACGCTCGAGAAGTGCAGCGCCATCTATTATCAAATACCGGAAACACATATCGAATCTACTGGATTTTTTAGGAATGTTCTGGATAATTCTAGGGATATCGTATCGCCTATAAAAGCATTGCAGGGATAAAATGAAGGCAGTGAGTAAGCGGTTCTACTCGAAGCGAAACAGCGAACGGATCATCTGAAGCGAATCGGAAGACGTGAATTGAGAATTTTAAAGAGTTCCATAAGTGTTCTAGCCTAGAACAATTAGAACTTCTAAGTTTTTGATATAGTATTAATTTGTATTTCGATAGAACTTTTATTTATCCCGAACCTCAGCGCGTAACAGTATTCATTCTGAGTCACTTAGATGCCACGTACTTTTATTGATAAATACATGTATAGCTTGAGTAGTTTGCCTTTATATTATACGATTTTACTGATCGCAGGATGTACGGTAGTCTCAATAGTCATTCGCCCCGGTATTAAACGTGAGACAAGCCTGATACAATAGAATTAAAATTTCGACTTCGTGCTACAAAGTGGGTAGCTTCGTTCATATTGGCATAGCTATTTCAGTGACCACTTACCGCGAGGTGCCCGAGGGCGTGTCTACCTATATAGAGTACAGCAATATCCACTACCCATTTCCTTTTTTTTTTCTTTTATGTCAAAAACGCTATTTGTACTGTACACTTAGTAACTGTTCAATAAATGTACCTTTTCCCACAATGCGGACATTCGTAGGGTCTAGCTCCGGTGTGCGTGCGCATGTGCAGCGTGAGGCAGTACGAGACTCTGAACGATTTCCCGCATATCTCGCACGAGTGGGGCTTCTCGCCTGAAACAGATCATTACTTTGTTTACCTCATCGACTCTCAACTAGACAGGGCTTGTAGCAATATTCGTGTGTGATTTTTTATTGCACTTTTAGGCAGAGGAAGGTACGGTTAAACTAATGACGAATGATTAGCGTCGTTCATGGACGTCAGCGATGCCAAGAGCTAAGCCTAACCGCAGTCTACCGCTGAGTACTTTCGGTAAGCCTCGCTCGCTTAAAGCAGAGGTCGACAAAGTGCGGCTCTTTGAACTTTTGAGTGTGGCTCTGGCACAAATATCCTACGGGCTTGCCTGGCATCTAATATTATCCGGATGTGGTCGAAAAAGCCGGTTAATAGTATGTACGGTCATTTAATATAGCACCCCTGACTAACGTCAATTATTATGTATAAATATTGATCGAAGCAGTATACACTATAGCATTTATTTTATGATTTGCAATAATAAATGTTTACTACATTTACAAACAAGATTTGGCTCTCAATTTTTTTTAAGTCGTTTTAATTTGCATATTTGGCTCTTTGGTTAGTAAGTTTTCCGACCACTGGCTTAAGGGGATTTCATCCCAAAGCCAGCTGATACGTGGCAAAAAGGTATCTGGAAATACTCTGTGGATTTACCCAATGGTTCTCTAGGTAATACTTTTTGGCGGGAACGCGAGGAGTGAAGTTGTGTGATTTGTTTTATTTTGTCTATTTAGTGTTTCTTCAGGTTTAAATGTGTAATAACGGTGGTTTATTAACTGTTTAATATCTGTGAAAGTGTACAAATGTGGGAAAATGAAACAAAGCCGCTGGACGCAACTTCTCGGGATCCTCCAAAAAGTCCACTGAAAAAATCCTAGTAAATGACCACCATTTTACTAAAATTATATTCCATTCCATATCATCTCATTTCATTTAATTTCATCCCAGTTGATTAACGTCTCAAAATAATCATTTTCATTTCATTTCACTCCATATTATCATTTTTCATAAAAAGAATAATATAAATTAAAATAAGACATGACTTAAAGGTCTTAGTAACCAGGTCATAAAATCACTTAATAAAAAATCTCTAGGTAGTATGGATGAACTCTGCTCCAGTGGAGGGCGGTGTGATAGTATAAATGAAACTAGCTCGTATACAGTACAGACACGGATGCCAACGGCAACACAACGTTTCAATTCAATCGGATGTATGACGCGCGAACTAGCATCCCACTTGCAAACAAACAAGCCACAATCATTTCATTATATTCACTGGTATGAAAGGCATCTGCCGTTATGTATTAAAGTACTGCTCGGGTGTTTGTATTATATAACGCTAGACGTGTACTGCGGTTTCTCTTGCGGTAAATTTGAAATCACGAATTAATGAAACAATTTATTTATTCTCAGGCAAAAAACTTAGTTTGCGGTAAAATCACGTACCGTAAAATGGGGGGAATCGGGACACTTTTTAAGTTTGACATTGATTTTATCGTTTTTTTTTTTGTAGTTATAGTAATAAAACGGAGATCATTATGGTTCCGGTAGTTTAAATTTTCATTTATATTGCATTAAAATATAGTTTATTAAAGAATAATCATAAAAAGTTTAAAAAACCCGCGTGTCCCTATTCACCCAGGCGTTGGTGAATCGGGTTACGTATGGGGACGTCCAATATAGTTTTTCGATAGGGCTGGCACTATTTAGTTGTTAGGTACCTAGGTACTTTAAGTAATTAACTTTTATGAGTATAAACATCTTTAATGAGTTACAACGTTGATGACTAAATTAAACTATTAAATATTCTTAAACACTAAATAAAAGTCATTTTCAGTTCAACAATGTTAACGACTATAACTTGTACTAACGACCATACTGTTTTATTATGTTACATATGAGTAAGTTTGTGTACTGTGACGAGTATCCCACATTGTTTGACAGATGCCTGAATTATGCTTACGAAATTTTCCAAGATAAGCTTGCATATTATTATATATACAAGTTCCGAACAAAAACATTCGGACCGTCGGTCTACCGAGCAATATCACCCGCTCGGTGGAAGATCTTCCCTTCGTCGTAAACCTTCCTACAGTAAAAGATTTTGATTGCCCTAACGTACTGACCTGTGTGTATCCTCTCATGCTTGACCTTCTCGTGCGGTCTGGCGAACCTTCTGTGGCAATAAAGACAATTGTATGGAAGCGATTTGTCCTGTTTGTTTACCGTTACCTGGGAATAAATGGATCAAGTTATGAAAAATCATATCTTTTCATATTTAAGAGGTAACAATCATGATTCACGCTAAAACAACAACAGCTAATTCATTTTTATTTTTGTTAAAGAATACCTTTTTGTATAATTTCGTTATATTTTCATTTATACAAACTGCATTAAATAATTAAAAATAAAAACGAGATACACCTAAAAAAATATATTGACATAGGGTTAATATTAATTTCACTTTATTAAGAGTTAAAATGTTTTCGGTCGAAAAGGCCAAAAGACCAAAAGGCTTAAGACCTTAGTTCAATATATTGGTGTCGATGTTCGTACCCAATGATTATGTAAATTACGTCACAGCTATTACTACACTCCTTTATTTTTCGACTATTATTTAAAACACACTAAATTTTTAAATAAAAAATAATCTATGACTATTTGCGTGGAAAGCACTATGTTTAGGAAACAATTATTCTAACTCAAGATATAATAAATTATACTTAAATATTATGAAAAGCCGAATATTTTATGGACGTCATTTTGTATCGTTTAAGCAATGATTTCAGTTCACTGACCTTTTCTAAATTATGTACGTTCATATGCATCTCGAGATACTCGTTTGAGTTGAACTTCTTGTTGCAGATACTGCAGTTGAACATGTTGTTCGTTTTATGAGAATTCTGATGGACGGTCAAATATTCGATTGGTATTAGTTTATTGCACACGCGGCACAAGAACCGTTTGCCTGACGACTCGGTACCGTCCTTGCTGTTCACGGGAAGCTCAATGGGGCGGGCTCTGAAAAAAATAAAAAAGTTAAAATTTCCACAGCGTATGCCTACAAAAAAAATAATTACGTTCTTTCACGTTTCCCAACTGAGAAACGAATCTTAAGGTCTCTAAAATATTATCAACGATTATGGCAACACAGTACAGCCCACAGAGGGTCGGAATACGAAAACGAATGTTTGTAAACAAGTCCTATTGTAATCAAATAATGGTTCTCTTACTTTTGTGGATCGTGCATCCGTTTGTGTAGTTTCAACGATTTATTAGTTGAAAACACCGTGCAACATAGTTCACATTCATATGTCAACGGTGCTTCTGCATTATTATCTAAAAAAAACTACGAATTTAAATTTATTCAAATTAATGTGACGCTTCGTGATCTGGATGTGTTAAAATAATCTCTATAAACGTGATGACTGGTATAAAAGGGATAGTTCTATCGACATATGCTTGTCTAATACAACCTCGATAAATTTTTATATTGCTAATACATAATAATTGTAAACATGATCATTGTTTTATTTGCTTATCCACGCTTATTGCCGCACTGGTTCAACCGCCTTAGACGAAATTTTATAAACGGTGCTCGTCTACTGTGTCGATGATTGACATACTAAACAGTGAGACAAAGAAAATGTAACTAGCAAATGTTTTTCTGTATATCTGATAAATTTCTCATATAGCAATATGATGCGGCACAGTGACGTAATTATACAAATAATTAAATGGCTCGAATGAAGCGAAATGTGTACTCTGCTTCAGAGTTGATCTATCCGCGATATACCATTTTTGAGGCCATCAGCGTAAAAGTAGCCTAACCCACAATTTTTCAAAAGTGGTGCTTCTAAATTGAAATTTATTTGAAACAGAATCAATTTTGACGCAAAGCCGGCCTATCCCTAGTTTCGGCGATAGATAACAGATGGCTTTGTAAACATTAATTTCGCACGTATTGTTTTTGCCTACGAAGCAGTGTAAAAGTAAATTCAAACCTCGATATCTCCATACTAACTATGATAAGCTTAGGCCACTTTTGCAATGACGGCCTCATTTGTGGTACCTACTTTACATGTCGTACGTGACTATCATTGAAATAATAATTATATAATCATCCAGCGGGCATAAAAAGATTTCAACTGTCACATCTCGTGCAAATCGTCGATACTTCAAAAAACTACTCAAATGTCTGAATAGGTATATAATTATTTACCTTGTTTTGGTTTATGAATTTTCATATGTGCATGTAATGATTTCGAATTCTCATATACGGCTGAACAATGCGGACATGCGTACTTCACTGAAAAAGAGAAAAATTAAACAACATTAGATTTGTCGCTTATATATTTTTTTACAATCTTGGAATCATCCTCAGTTCAAAATCTTACTGTTATGAATTTTGTAAACAAACTGTTCTGCCCTTTCATCAGTTAAATAATTAAAACAATTAAAATGACAATTGATCCCTCTAGAATCCGGTTACTGCACTGTTGAAGGTTTTAATCAAATAGCAACTTAATATAAGTTTCTGATTATGTTTATAGAAACGTTTTATCTTTTAAACAGTAGTGCATTTAAATATAGCCCGTGATATTTACATTGAGTTAAATTATTATTTATCTTAAATGAGCAGAATAGCTCAGGGCCCTCGCATTAAGTATAGTAAATAGTCACTGAATCTAAGCTGAGACTAAACGTTGAAGTCTCAATTTTCTAATAGTAAATTACTGCCATAGACTCCCAATGGTAATGATTATGTTTGCCTCACGACAGGCAGCATGGTTATCTCCCTGTACAGGGTTGGAACACACCTACCATACTCCCTCCCATTACGTTATTTCTCTAAAGAAAAAGTGTCAGGTTGTGTTTACATTTATGGTTAAGATGTTTAGTATTTATGTACTTACAGATCTTGCACGGTTTAGATTTGAAGTCGTTGATATTTGGCACATATATCATGCAAGACTTACAATAGTACATCTTGGCCAAATCTCCATTTTGTAGCTTTATAGCTTTCACTACCACTTTATGGCAAGCAAGGGGCTTATCTGAAATAAATGATATTTTAAATTTAATTTATGAAGAATTAATGCAATGTAAACAAATATTATGTAACGAAATGGTAGTTATGTGTTTTTAGGTGTTACAAATGTATGAAGTTTTTTTTTTATAGCTTAGACGGGTGGACGAGTTCACAGCCCACCTGGTTTTAAGTGGTTCCTGGAGCCCATAGACATCTACAACGAAAATGCGCCACCCACCTCGAGATATAAGTTCTAAGATCTCAGTATAGTTACAACGGCTGCCCCACCCTTCAAACCGAAACGCATTACTGCTTCACGGCAGAAATAGGCAGGGCGGTGGTACCTACGCGCGCGGACTCACAAGAGGTCCTACCACCAGTAAAACGATAGGATGACCAACATGGCTATGATAGTTCATGTTATTTGCCGACTGGCAGGAGAGATATGAGGCCAGGAGTTGCACCTTGGCGGTACACACAGTCAGGTTAATAGTGAATATGTTGTAAAGTACACAAAAAACCTGTAGGTTTACACATGGTATTCAATGGGCCAGATAATGTTTCGTAAAGATTTGTCTTCCAAGGAAGTCTTATTCAAATTGAGTCCTAACCGGAGCCGGCTAACCAATTCTTATTGAAATGTTTAACTTGAAAAGTTAAAGTCATCCAGCAATGCACCTATAATTAACGCTTGTTTTATTTAGTACCATGTGGCTTATTTAGTTTTAAATCAATTGACAATCAGTTAAAAGTTTTAAATGTTGGGATTAAAAAATTACCCTGCTTTTCTTCTTCCATTGTATTTTCAAGATCTTCAATCAATACAATTTTTGACGTAAACTCCGACTGGTTATGTAACAGCGACGATAGTTCACTGCTATCTGCTAATGGATCTAAAACAGTTATTTGTCACTCACATTATATGACAATATAAATAGGTACTTAAAATATTGTGAAAATATTATTATTTTGTTTACGAATTTCTCCAACACAGAATCTATTAATTTCAACTCTGATGAAACCTTACATAACGTACAATAATGCATACATTGTTTACGAAGCTCATTGTTTTTTGGCCACAAATGATGCCACGTAATGAATGCTGCCGATCCAGATTTATTAAGTTTGAGCGACCATTTCTAAAATTAAGAATTGATTGCGTATCGTTTAATTTTACTAGTGCTGAATGACTAATGTACTGCTGAAGTCCAGTTTCCATAAGGCAAGGTAACAAATTGCTAAGACCTTACAAATAGAGAAACATATTTTAAGTAAGCCCTAGTAACCATACCATGGGGTTGTTGTGGCATTAAGGATAAAACGCCTGGTGCACTCATAACGAGCTATGCGACTGGGTCGGTGTTCGATTTCAGTTCTAATTCCCTTATTAAATTTTCTAGTTGTAATTATAAACCACACAATTACAGTATTAAGCCTATCTTATGTCTAGCTTTCATATGTATAACTGTGTAAAACATCTGTCAAGGCTTTAATAAGCAAGAATTCCACATGACCACTACTGCTCTGCCAAGAGCAACCGATTATGATGATGTCTAGCTTTCAGATGTCAACTGCTGACTAGCAAACTTTTTGTTCAACAACGGCATCCCACATAAGTTTTCATTATAAACAAAGAGGGCCCTTTCATTTTATTACATTGATGTCCAAATAGGCTAGTTACGTTAATGGGCATTTACACTTACACTGTATACAAATGTAGTGTAGTTATATCAATTAGTACAAATTTCTTCTTGTTCATTATATCACTAACCTTCTATAGGCTCTTCAGACATTAACGGATTTGAATTTGTCAATAATGGTGCTTCAAGAATATCTCCAGTCTCTGTGATCACCCTTCGTGATATTTGTTTGTCTTGCCCATTTTCATCATCAGTTTGCATTGGGTCATACGTTAATTTATTTTCTACTTCATCTATTGGTTCCTGTTCATTTAATGAAATAAATTTGTGAAATGTTTAAGATGTTTTGAGTAAAAGTTCAAAACATGACATTTTTACATTTATGTGTGTTTTTGTGTTTTCTTTCATATAATCATACTAAGTTGATGTCATGATTAATAGTGACCAGCAGCTATCCCTGCCACTCAAACCTGTCACCCCTAAGGAACTTACACAGTGTATACAGTCTCTTAAAAATAAAAAAAGCACCTGGTTTTGATTTAATAACTGGTGAAGTACTTGAGAAATTTCCCAAAGAATCATTAATATGTTTAACAATGTTATTCAATGCCATCCTCAGAGTAAATTATTACCCAAAACTCTGGCAAATAGCACAAGTCTGCATGGTTATAAAGTGTGGAAAACCGGTGTCTGATCCAAGTTCATATAGGCCCATAAGTCTTCTACCTGTATTGTCTAAGGTATTTGAAATGGTCTTTCTAAAAAGACTGAAACCGCTTTTTGACCGGGAAGAGATCATACCGGATCATCAGTTTGGATTTCGGGCAAAAGATTCTACTGTTGAACAAGTACAGAGTAGTTCACAAATTCGACAATCCATAGAAAAGAAAGACCATAAAGAAAGACTAAATGAGCACTCAAATGAATTGGCAAGGTATCTGCTAGACACAACTGGAGATGTAAAACGTTTAAAAAGATATATTTAGATTGTATAAACTCCTACATTTTGTAATGCACAAAACGCAATTTTAATACATTATACTTAATATGTATATATCATAGACTATACCGAAAATGACTCACTTCAACTACAACCTCCTGATCATTATGATAGTTTTGTATGTGTTCTAGTACAGATGAGAATGATACTCCACAAGTATTGCAGCTATATATATTTTCTTCTTGATTCAATTCTTTTTCTTCTACTCTCAATGCAGTTAAGTTGTCTGATTCTCCCACTACATCTAAAAAGAAATTTACAGAAAACAATAAATTACAAGTACGTATATATTATATATTCGGTTATGACGTCTTTACGGTTATAGCGACGTCAAACTTACGTTCCTTGAATTTAAAGCATACTTTCCTAAGAAATTCATTTGGTTATAGCGACTTTGGATATAGTCAATTTTGGGTATAATAGTCTAAGATCCCGCTGCAGGAGTGGTGCGTTCATCGATTTTTTGCTTAAAACCAAACTTTTATTTTTATTTATAATTAGGAGAATATATATTTACTAGGGTGCCTATTAAAATTTGGCCGTCATTATTTTTAATTAAATTATTTTTGATTAAATTATTTTTAATTGATTTTTGGTAAAAAATTTCGTTTATTTATTTTTTAAATAAAATAACGTCTACATCACGGTAATTTATTTGAAGATTCTAAAAAATCACGGTTGCCGTTGCGCACCTGGCCGCACCTCTTCGCAGCCAGGTGTAAACACGTATGATTTAGATAAATTTATATGTTTATAACGTATATTTATTAATTATATGTCAAATTGAAGCTTTAGCTATTAATTATCATATATGGTTGCTTAATTAAATCTGGCCGCAAATAAGGGTTACTGGCTGTTAAAGATGATAAATATTTAAGGTAGAGTGAAAGAGAGTTAGCGCATAACATCATTTGTTAGAAGAGGATAGCGATTGCCGGCTATGCGACGCTTTTAAGCCATTCGCAGAATCTACCACCGGATCGGAAACGCGACCCACTGAGAAGATCCGGCGAGAAACTCAGTGGGCTGTGTCTGAGAGTTAATTTACTCGACGAGCACATCGTCGCAAGCGACGGGTTCGACTAGAACGGTGACCGGCATCTGTGCTAAGTAGTCTTCTACTCAGCACGGGAAACTTATGTGAATATTGACAATTAATGAAATTATTGAGTCTGTGCTTCAAACACAAGAAAAGGAGAATGAAGAAGAGGAAGAAGATTGCAATCTAAATGAAATTCCAACAACTAGAGATGAATTATGTGCTATAACAATGCTCAAAAAGTACTGCTTATTTGGTGAAGGTCAAAATAATTTAGATGTAGAAGGAATTATAAAAATGGCACCTCACAGCGTGCAGAAAAAACTAAACTTAAGCAGTGCTCTATAACACATTTTTTCAATAACTCCCATGTATACCATAATTACAATTTCAGTCTTACAATTTTAAAATCTGTAGATCAGTTGTTAGATTCACTTTGCGATGTGTATGAGCTAGTACAATCACGCTTTAAAGATGAGCCAGTCGACAACCAAACTACAGCAACCAATAAATAGTATGGGTTTATTTACTGATCTACTTATGAACTATTGTCATCCTCACTCACCCTTCTGTTGCATAAGTTTTTATTATAACAGCTTTTAATATTTTACTGAAAAATGTTAAACAGTACCTTTAACTGTTAAAGAAATAGTTCCATCATTGTTCTGCTTAGTTACAATAGTGTTTTCTATGTTACGGTTGGTTGGATGAGTTATAATCATGTATCGACTTTCTCCATCTTCTTTTACTAATTTCAACTCCTGAGTTTGGAGGCAAGGTTTCATCAACTCCTTACCAATTAATTCAACATACATCTTACCAACATCATTCCCATCTATTTGAGCATCTAATGCATGTGTTGGTGTTGTGTTACCTTTAGCAGATTGGTCAACAGTTTCTGAAAGCAGAAATAACTATGTCAGCGTGTATATTGAATTTATTTCAATAATCACTTTTAAGAATAAAGTATACAGAATGAAAGCAATGTAAGTTTATGACGCAAATGAATATTTTTTATTCAATTGCTTTAATTACTGCAATTACTTTAATAACCAATATCAAACAGAAATAAAAAATATTTCAAAATATTTTTTTATACAGATCCCACTTAAAAATACAATAATATAAAGGATGTTTGCTTTAAATGTTCTAATGTTGGGTGGGTACCAGCACACATAAAGTGTCACTTGAAACATGAGTTGGAAGTCTCACCTAAATTATAAAATACCAATTTCTTTAATAAAATAAATAGTATGAATATCAGAAATGATTTAAAAAGTTTCCTCTTTATTTCGTAATTAAGAAAAAATTGGATTAAGCTACTTTATACCAAGAAAATAAAATGTTTGATTAGTAATGACACACAATAATACGTTTTTACATGTAATATTCTTTTACCACTTGATAATACTTCGAAATGTTCGTTTTTAATATTATCAGTTTGATCTTGTAGTATGACCGAAAATTCTTTTAATTCTTCCTTTTCTTTTTGACAATCATTTTGGGTTAGATGATCAACTAGATGTACTAGTGTCGCTTGTTTATTATCACAAATGGGACAGTATAAGTTTTTCAAAATATTAATCAAATGTTCTAGCAGTGTACTCTTAGAATCAAAAGTCCTATCGCAACAAACAGGACATTTTATATTGCTGTCTTCCATTTTTATGAAGAATTACACAAGTTCTATTCAACTGTAGCAATTACTATCCTAGAACATGTATTGTATCACTCATTATTTTGAACTGTATTCATTATTTTGTAAACATTTCATTTTTAAACATTATGGGCTACATTCAGTTTGTATCTAAATTCTCAACACTAAGTCCATGTTTTACTGATTAACTTCACACTAAATTTCGAAGAAAGAAGAAAGCAATGATAAACTCGCTCACTCAGCGCAATTTAAATATTAGTATAATCTATGACAAACTCTCATCTTCTTTTTTTCTATTATGGCAATTATCTTCTTGCAATGCCATTGCTGTTGAGCCATAGTAGACCTTAGGTTTCATACTTCAGTATGTTTAGCAAGCAGTGTGCGTAGCATCAAGTACGGTTTATAACTTTTCTAAAAAATAATAAGTAATGGAACGAAATGAGATGAATTTGATTTATTTGAGATTATAATCTTTTCGGAAGAAAATGAAACAAATGGATTGAAACGAGATAGCATGATATGAAATATCATGGGACAGTGCAAAAGTCAAAATGGTGCAAATTTCTCCTGGTGTATTCAGTATGACTATTGGCTTCTGTGGTAGTGCCATCGCTGCCAGAATCGACTTAATAAAATCCGTATATGTACTATAAATATATTTGATTAATTTGAATCCGTACACTATAATATATATACACCGTAATAAAGTGTATTGGAAGTATTGGAATGGAACGAGATGTTGTCCTACTAAAATTTCGGGAATTTACTAAGACTTCAGAGGGCTTTACGTGTTCCAATTGTAACATAGCCTTCACTGCAATCCAGCACACTTCACTGTTTAAACGCTATACTATATTCGTATCATTTCCACTTCTTACACTACCCCTATTACGGTAAGTCTATAAGGGAATGGTAGTAGTACTAGAACTTTGCAATATACGAAATTTTCGTTACACCTTACAGTACTTTTACAGTACATTCTTTCTCCTCTAATATTTTCAATTTTTATTAATCTCATTACCGAAAATCTTCAATGTGCGTACCATCTATATGCCGATGATTTGCAGCTTTATGCTGAGGCTGGAGTCGATAGTGTGTCTTCGGCAGTTGGAAAAATAAATAACGACCTGTCCTACATTAAATCCTGGTCTGACAGTTTCGGCATAAGCGTCTATCCCGCCAAATGTCAGGCTATTATTGTTGGAAGTCAACGCTTGTTATATCGGTTGGATATGGCATATGTCCCATCGGTTATATATGATGGCTCAACCATCAACTGGTGTTCAGTTGTAAAGGACCTAGGCCTACTTATTGACTCCAGTCTGAGTTGGCGAGCCCAGGTCATTTCCGTGTGTCAGCGAGTTACACTTACACTCCGTATGCTTTCATCGTCGCCGCCGATCATTCGTCATCTAATTGATAATATTTGTTTATATATGTATATATTTATGATATGTATATGTATATATTTATGTATATCTATATATTTACGTCTATGTATTTATTTAAGTATGAGTATTTGTATCTATAAATATTATGTATGTTATATATACACATATGTTTAAGTAATATCACCTTCACGCTACACCTACCAAGTATAAGAAGTTATAAATAAATAAATATTTGCAGTGTGGTAGTTTAGGGCGGTTCTTAAAATTTTTCGCTACCTTAATTGGTTCTCTTTTAACGTACACTTTTTTCGGTGATATGGTATTCCTTCATTTTTCTCTTTGAATTAGGTAGGTAATAGGTACTAATCTGATAATCTGTTGACTGACAAATGACAAGTGGCAACATTGACTTTATGTAGGTAAAACTTCTGACTTTTTGGCGGGAACGCGAGGAATGTAGTTGTGTGATTTGTTTTATTTTGTCTATTTAGTGTTTCTTCAGGTTTAAATGTGTAATAACGGTGGTTTATTAACTGTTTAATATCTGTGAAAGTGCACAAATGTGGGAAAAAGAAACAAAGCCGCTGGACGTAACTTCTCGGGATCCTCCAAAAAGTCCACTGAAAAAATCTTAGTAAATGACCACCATTTTACTAAGATTATATTTCATCCCATATCATCTCATCTCATTTCATTTAATTTCATCCCAGTTGATTAATGTCTCAAATTAATCATATTCATTTCATTTCACTCCATAATATCATTTTTCATAAAAATATGAATATAATTTAAAATCAGAAATGACTTAAAGGTCTTAGTTACCAGGTCATCAAAACGGTATCAATTAAAAAATAAGTTTTATTTTCTGAACGCCATTTTGTTCTGTGATTTCGGCATTTGTTTTGCTGTACTAGAGAAACTTTAAGAATTACGCTTTTGTCTTAAAAAATCAACACAAGTTGAGTCATAGACGTGATATTAACGATAAGTACTTTAAAGTCTAACATTTTAAAGTGATTTCAAGATTTCAGTGCAATAAATAATGTAGATTAGCGTAGAATATTGGGCTTGTGTTATTTATTTTGGCGGGTAAATTATATTGAATCGAGATGCTGGGTAAGAGGATGCATCATAATAGCAAAGGTAGACTAGCAAACAAAGATAATGGAAAGCCATCAAGCCCTGGAATTACACCATACACTAAACCAACAAAGATTCCAGGTTCTGTTTCTACTGCCAAAATCAAAGTTGAGACATGCCCAATTCCATACATTAAAATACAAGATAATGCAGTGCTTTTGCCACGATTTACTGCGGTTGCAGCGAGATCTGCAGATGAACCTATTGGGATGGATGAGCTGGATGGGTTACAGTTGGAATTAGAGTCATTGCTATGTAATACTGCCCTACGATGCAGATATTTTCAATCTGAAATAGAGAGCATAGATTCGAATGAATCTAAAAGAGAAAAAAAAGGCAAAGCAGCCGGTAAACAGCTACAGTATCCTGTAAAAAGAAAATTTCAAGATGACAAAGTGGTTAAAACTAAAGACTACACAAAATTGTCCAATCAGCCAAAAGTGCCTAAATTTAAAAATTTCTCAAACGCTTCCTCAGGATCTCATACCTACTCTAATGATTTAGTGAATTCAGACAACTCTGTAAAACTTGAACTTTCACAATTAGCACTGCCTAAAAACAATATCCCATATAAATTTTGGAATTCAGTAGAGCCTTATTGTGCTCCTGTAACATTGGATGATATAAAATTTTTAGAGTCCTTGTTAGCTCAAAGCAGTAACACCACACTACCTCCGATCCCTCCATTAGGAAAGCATTACTCAGAAGTTTGGGCAGATGAACATCTTGCTGAAGATCAAAATGCGTCTAATCCTAATAAGCAAAAATCATCTATGTCTCCAGATGCATCTCATGCTCGTAAGAAGCTAGAAAAGTCATCAGAAAGCATGATAACTGGACCTTTGACACAAAGATTAGTCTCTGCTCTTATGGAAGAGAATGTGATGTCTTATGAAATACCTGATATTAAAGTAAAAATGGTCTCCACCACTAAAAGTGGCTACAAGAATTCATTAACATTAGAAAAGTGTTTGAGGAAGGAATTGGTTGAACAAGGAATACTTGATCCAGAGGATTTACCACCTCTCACTAATCCAGCTGATGATGAAATACTAGCAGAGATTAAAAAATGTCAAACAGAATTAACAGCTGTACGTAAAGAGAATTGTCGAAATCTTAAAAATTTAATTGGTTTGTGTAAACAAGAAATGATTAGACTGAATCTGAAAAAGCAACTGGATCAAGTGGATCTAGAATGTATTGATATTTATAAAAAGATGGTAGCGGCTAAACAAAAGAAGCGCCCTGTTACTAAGAAGGAAAAAGAAGATGCTTGGAAAGCAATAAATGAACAAATAAGGCTAAACAAAGAAATCAATGCTTTGCCACAAACGGGTCCAAATTCAAATTAGATATTAGTGTTCGGCATGATACAAAAATAACATGTGGTAATTATTCTAGGAGTATCTGTTGAATTAAATATGGAAAAATACTTGTTTTATTACTGTGACTACTAACTACTTATTTGGCAAATTTGACCTTGGCCTTGGATTATGGCCTTGACTTTTTAAAGGATAAGATGTTTAGTGCATTTTTATCTAGTGATGCAACAATGTTTGAATCCCGCAGGTGGGTACCAATTATTCTAATGAAATATGTATTTAACAAATGTTCACAATAGACTTCCACCGTGTAGGGACTTCCATCATGTAAAAAAAATCAAACCTGCAAGTTTATAATTTGCATAATTACTCTGGTGGTAAGATGTCTTGTGAGTCTGCACAGAACAGAACTAATGAATGCTAATGCAAATTTTTTATTTACTGCAGATTTTGTATTACCTCATTTTATTTTGTTATATATGTATGAGTCGTCTATTATCAAAGGTGGCAATCTGTGCATTTGGACAAAAAAATGTTATTGGTATGTCAATACAGATTGATTTGAATATAATAGTCTCCTTCAAAGAATACGGTTCAAAACCTGCATTAAATAAAGGTTAATACTTAACCTGTTATTTATCTAAGATGTAGTTAAGAAGAGTTTTGTGACTGCCAATGGAATACAAAGTCAATAATTCGTTTTTCTGATTTACCAATAATTGTCCAAAAGTCACATTGCCGGCTTTGATAATAGTTGACTCATATAAGGTTGGGGAAAAAGTTTCTTAACATTTTTTAAGAAAATTCACGACATTTTTAATATACTTTATTTATATTTAACTAAAGCATACAGGTACCATTTTGTTCAATAACTTTTTGCTATCTTGTAGGTTTTTTGGAGGTTCTGATCAATATACTGCGACAATTGGTTTTGGTAGTGCTCTTGTGATGTTAACCTGACACTGCCTAAAGAATTCTAAAGAGACCAAAGCAGGTGGAAATCTGAAGCTGCAAGGTCAGGACTATACGGCGGATGCATTAACACCTCACAGCCAGGCTCTTAATTTTTGCTGATTGGCTAAAGATGTGTGAGGTCTAGCATTATCATGATGAAAAATTACACCCCTTCTCTTGATTAATTCCGGCCGCTTTCTCTCAACTTCTTGCTTTAATCTCATCAGTTGTTCACAGTACAGTTCAGAATCGATGGTCCAGCCTAGTGGTAACAGCTCATAATGAATAATGCCCTTCTAATCCCTCCACACACAGCATCACCTTGTTGCGAGTTAACCCGGGTTTCGCCACAGTCTGTGAAGCCTTACCGGCCTTTGACCACGACCTTTTTCGCACGTTCTTGTCGGACGTGAGCCAC